TCATTGTTTGGTTGATATCCCCACCAACTATCCAACGGGACTTGAAAAGCAAAACTTCTTAACCTGTGTAAATTCATTGTTCATCATTCGTCCACAGTTCCCGCTTAGGAGCAATTTTAACCTATGTCTAATACAGGGGCTTGAGGCTGAACTTCATCCCACCTATTGGGATTCAAGAGGAATATCTGGGATATAATATCTGAAACATCAGCCAGCCGAAACGCATAACCACACGCTTGATTCCTTCGTGCTTAGATCTGCTAGTGGACGGCTGTAAGCTATGTGAGCATGACACCCAGGTCCCAGAGTCTCTGACAGTGAGTGACCGCTGGGTGAGCCTAGATATCTTAGAGCTGTCGCTACCGTATTCTTCTCCGCTGAAGTCGTCGTTCAACTACCTGAGGGACTCACTGGAGTCGCAAGCTAAATATACTGATTGTTACCAAATGATTCTTCTGTTTCAGCCTGTCGGTCTATCAAAAGAAAGTAAAATAGCTGAACGCCTAATTTCTATCGGAAATTTGGACCAGTCAATCCACATTGATTCATCAAGGAGTAGAGATAACTGAGTCAACAGAGACACGAACTGTAAGTAAATTCATGTTGTCTGACTCAGACGAAGACATCGGGGTGTTTATAAACGGCGATATATCCGTAAAAACGCGAAAATACGACGACATTATAACTTGGTAGGGAAGCTTGCAGCTGAAGCAAGAACGACTCCAAAGTGGATTTTTACCTAGGTAAGGCAGCCCATGAAGCATGTAGACAATGTGTAAGTATTGGATCACTCAGATGGACAGATCCTAATCTCCTGCATTGATCCTAAGGTGCATGTTTGCGATACACTTCGCTTTCGTATTTAGAAATAACAAGATATCCTTATCACGTTCGACAAGTGACGCGCCTACCGAATTGGATAGTCTGTATTGCAGCATTGGAAATGTACGCAAACTGCCAGGCAGACTTGACGGAATAAAGCCGGTAGGGCGTGATAGAATCCACCCGTCAATACTCATCTGGCCTTCTGTGACTGAGGTTTTCAACGGATCACTATCCACGGTTCCATTACTAAGTAACTGGAGATACTCAGTAGTAAAGCCAATACCAAAAGCTTGTTAACATAGCAAGGTGGACAATATACCGGCCGATCTGCTTAATCGCTGTTTTGGCTAAGGCACCTGAGTAGATCTTGAGCAAGGGACTTTTACATTTTCTCGAGTCGAAAGGCATTTTGACGCTCTAACAGCATTATTTCCTGAAAGACTGCTCATGTATCATCAATCTGCTGCTGACGATGCGAAAATGGTTGCAAGTGATGAACCGGATGAAGTCGGTCGATGTCATTTACACTGACTTCAGTAAAGAGGCTGGCAAGGTGAACCATGAGGTCTTCCTTCACAGGCTTACGGTATGCGTTGTTGGCAACTCACTTTACGAAAGGAGCAGAAATTTCCTTGTTGGTGGTAATTGGATGGACCAGGTGGACAACCACCTGACTGAGTAGCATCCCTAGGCCAGTGGCGGGTTACAAGTCATGAACCCCGTAAACAGTGTACCTCAGCTTCTCCGTTCGCCCTGTGCGTTGGCTGCAGCTGACCAGAAAGTGTGGAGAGTAATCTGTGTGCCCACTGTCTACGACTTGCTTCAGCTTGATCTTTTCCGCATCTTCCTGTGGTCTACACAAGTCGAATTTCCTATGAACCCAGGCATGTTACTATTTATGGATAAAGGTGGACACGGTCAAATCTATACTGTGGTCTGCCAATAGCTTTGTTTCAAGCCTTTTGTGAAGGATCTTGTACACTCACGTTATCTCATACAGTCCGTGGACAACACGAAGAGGCCTTCCCAAAACGGACTTCCTTTGCCTTGGCCCTTAAGCGCACCTTTTGCAATCGGTCCGCAGAGATCGTAAGTCGTCTTTTCGTTCCAGTCATACAACTAGGGTTGAAGCAAACTTCACCCGCATACTGTACTATCATCAAGGCCAGTTGTACTAGATTGATCGGCTATGGAGTGTGACCGCCCGGGCATCCCCAATTTATTTGGTGCGTCCTTCAAAAACCGGTGCAAGGGGCTATTACTTTATGCTTCATTTTTATTTTCGATTGTTGGTTGACCTTACTAGGACACACCGGATATTACGTGTATTTGATTAGCCATGCACCATATGCGCACACAAGAAGTACTCATGGACACCAGTACCAGCTTGTACTAAGGGGTTTGAAACGAACTGATCATCAATTCTGCTTCTAAACGAGAATAGTGAGTAACAGAAAGTAGCGAACAAGCTTGTTTTCAGGGCTTCCTCATCAGGCTAATACAACCACAATAAAGCAAGTTAGAATAGACACGATGGATAATGGATAATGAGAATGACAAGACACAGACAATCGAGAGATCCATAACGAAACTCCTGCGTTGCTTAAAGCAGGAGAATGTAATCGACTCAGATATATTTGAATACACCAGACCGAGTGGGACAGTGATTCCAAGATTGTATGGCCTGCCCAAAGTACACAAGGAAGGGCTACCACTAAGGCCGATACTGGATATGTGTAACTCACCGTACTCAACTGCCAAGTGGCTCGTCAAACGGCTGGAACCAGTCAGGAAAGCCATAGCTAGATACAGTCTCAAAGACACCTTCGATTTTCTTGACTCAGTGAAACAAATTGAGCTAGCTGGGCGACAGATGTTCTCCTTAGATGTGGTGTCTCTTTTTACCAATGTTCCATTGGAGGAGACCGTAGATTATCTGTGCGAGTTCATTCTGCTGCGCAACTTCAATGTTGGTATCCCACTAGACCGGCTGAGACAACTGCTACTCATGTGCACACGAAACATTCAGTTTCAGTTTAATGGAAAGCTATATCGACAAATAGACGGGGTGGCAATGGGTTCACCATTAGGACCGTTGCTCGCGGACGTCTTCATGAGCAAATTGGAGTGCAACCAGCTGAACGAATCCATCAACAGCTTGGTTTATTACGGTCGATACGTAGACGACATATTTTGTATCGCGAATAATGGAATGTGCGTCGATGACCTATTGGCCCAGTTTAACACTGCACATAGCAATATAACTTTCACTATCGAGCTAGAACGTAACGACACGTTGGCATTTTTAGATGTCCAAATCAAAAGGGCATCAGATGGGTCAATGCGGAGGAGGGTGCACAGAAAAGCAACCTGGAATGGGCAGTACATCCATTTCGCTAGCTTCGTTCCGATAACTCAAAGAGGAACCTCGTCCGTTGCTTAACGGAGAGAGCGAGGAGAATATGTACAGATGATACGCTTTCAGATGAGCTGAGTTTTATACGAAACGTACTCGAGCGCAATGGGTACCCTGAGAAATTCATCCAGAGGCACATGGAACCACGAGTACAAAAGCCCAAACCCGTTTCAGTGGAGAAGCGGATGGTATACTTATCGTTGCCATTTAAGGGTGACGCGATAGCGGAACGGACCACCCGAAGACTTTCCTTAGCAACAGAAAGAACGTATTTTGCCGCTAATCTCCGCGTAAGCTTCACCTCAACACCGCTTGTGTGCCAACAACTTAAAGACAGGATACCTCGGTCGCAGACCTCCTTCTGTGTGTACAATTTCTCTTGCTCGTGTCGAGCAAGGTATATTGGGAAAACGACCAGGCGACTGTCCGTTAGGGCTCGAGAGCATTGCCCAGCTTGGCTCTACAGCGGCGTGAGGAAGAATGTAACGAGTGCAGTATTGTCGCACCTAGTTGACTCCGATCATCAAATCGATTCGCGTGACGCATTCACACCGATTTACTGTGTCCCCGGACGTTTCACACGGGCAGTCAGATGTCGCCTGCTGTCGACAGCAGAGGCGATCGCAATTCGGCTCTATAACCCGGACCTATGTGCACAGAAAAAGCTCGTCCACACTTTAGCCTTGCCTTGGCCTGAGATCAACGCGACTAACAATGGCAGTCACGCCACTTCACTTGACCAATCAGACCAAACATGTAGACTTATAGATTAGTTACTCTGTTTCAGTGACTCAATTTAAACCCATCGTGTCTATTCTAACTTGCTTTATTGTGGTTGTATTAGCCTGATGATGAAGCCCTGAAAACAAGCTTGTTCGCTACTTTCTGTTTCTGATGTCATCCTCGGGAATTATTTCTCAATAGTGAGTAAATGGAACAACTTAACGCTGCAGGTCGTCTGAATTTAAAATATTTTGGAACAACAACTTTCCGACGTAGAATATCAGGAATGCTTGACAACCTAATAGGTTCACACCTGGTGGATTTTAGATGCCGCTACACAATGATATCCCTTCTTGCTGCCTCCGTACAGTACTCAGTATTTACATAGCCTCGAATGATTAGATTGATCCGAATAGATCAGGTCGCGTTGCACTGCCAGCGCCTTCCAGTTCCCACAAGAACAACCGCCGAAAATGTTTGCCACTCTGTCGTACACAGTTGTTTGACGTTCTACCCATCAAAGTTGTTGGTGCATCATCGGGTATCTGGACATTCTACGACTTCTTGGCTAGATTGCATGCTGATTGCAAACGGTCAGTCACCGAATATGTAAGTATTCTAGATTTTAATTTATGTTTTAATTCGCTCTGTCCCAAACCAAATCTCAGTGACGTTACGGCAAAGGAAGAGCAGCTAAACTGCCAGCTCGGAATCGATGAGCTATTACTTCCCACTACCGGCAGTGCTGTCAACGCTAAATGTTTGCATGCGGTCAGGCAAACGGAAACAAGCCAATATTCATTTCAATATTTCATACGCTGTTGAAGTAACCACAAGAGTGACGACTTAACGCGGTAGAACGGTAAATTCCCCGATCATCTATGCTACGATAATTGCTGTAGGTTTGAAAATTACCGGATCTTATCTCTCCTAATTAGATCCCTATACTCATGTTGTATTTAAACCAATGTCGTACATACCAAGCAAGTTCCGGCATCTCAAGATTCTTTGTTTTCTGCATGCACCCTTTCTGCAGAGGACTTTACGCAGTTGGTTTGGAAGGGGACCGAATATGTCGGTTTCGGTTGCGCAATAAATCAGGATGGAGACGCAATTTTCATAGCTGCACATTACTCCCCCAAAGGCAACGTGGACGGTGAATTCTTGAAAAACGTTCTAAAGCCTCACGTTGGTAGGTTTGCCCTAATCATCATTGTATGATTCAGCGATATCCGAGCGAAATCAGTAGGTCCAAGTTGTATTGTCTGTGAACGTGCCAGTTAGTCTCTTCACTCTACGAGGTGTACCGCAGTGCAACACATGATGATGAACCAAGTACACTGATGCCATTATCACTATTCCATTATAACCAAGGAAATCATTTTGCCTATCTTTATGACCTACGAACTCACACCGGATAATCCTATATTAGTTTGTATGGTTTCTATGAATCCTTTTTCCTTTGATTCACGTTTGTCCTTTCATACGGAATGACCTAGATGGGTGTAAGCAGAGGAGGTTATTGACTATGTATTTCTAAAACGTTTAAGGAGTTGCCCGCCATATTTAGTGGATAAATAAACCCCGATCGATATCGCCGTAGTGAGCAAACATTTATACAACGTAAAACCATTCTTTGATAAAGTTTGAGGATTATATCACCCCATGTAGTTAGCCGTACTCACACAGCAGACCGGCGCATCCCGGCTTCGTGATGAGTCCAAGTCAGTAGAATCATGTAATATGTAGGTGAACTATGTAGACTACTACGTCCGTGAGCATGTAGCTAGAGTTGGTAGTATTGCATTGCATACTCGAGGGACTGCGCTATACCTTCCTTCCTCCGGCATCGAGACCGGTGCGCTGGTGCCTGTTTAGATAATCGGAAGTGTATTCTAGTATTTAGCTAACAAAATAAGCGAGGAACCAAGTGTGGCTCACGTTCGAAGTTGCAGCAGTTGCTGGTCACTAATAGAGAACCGGGACTTTTGCTGTAATTCTAATGAATTATCTCCGTAGCAAGCCAGATATGCTAATTAGTAATCCGCTGCTGGCTAGTTAGCCTGAGGCACTGGCGGTCGTGGTTTTGGTTATCTGAAGTGGACTGAGGGAATTCAAGCGAGTGGTTGGCCAAATGGGGCGAAAAGGTTTTCTAGTGCGTTTCCAAATTGCTAATTAGGCTGTCCGGCCTGTGAGCAGCTGGAAAGAACCAGTGTAATTTGATCCATGACTAATCAATGTTTACGATCTTGGTAGCAGCTGTCAACAAATCTGGACAGAAGTATTTGTAACAATTAGATCCCTTTAATAATTTGAATAATGCCGTAAGAAGACGAATACTGGCAGATGTCAGTATTTCGTATTGTCTCTTCAGTGCCAACACAATAACATGAAAATATGTAAGACGACAGGTAGGGTGAGACCGGAACAGGTTAGAACAGAGTAGAGGGGCAGGCGTGACACCCCTACGCCCACGGCCGCCGTAGACTTACGAAAAGCTGCTTCTGCACACAGAGTGCGGGTTTGATACGGCTGATCGCGACTGCCTCTGCAAAACGTAGGAAACGGGTGTTAGTATGTCTCAACACGATTGTAAACATTGTGGCCGGATCAAACTGGTGACAGGTGGCCAGTAAATGCCTACCTATGGATGAAGCAGGTGGTTTACGTGAACAGATGGTATGAGCAACTGACGACTGGGTGATTTGACGCTGCAACCATTTAGGTACATGTTCCCTTATTCTGGAATTCAACGATCGATTGGTACGGCCGATGTAGTGTATACCACAACCACAAGTAAATTGGTAAATGCAATGTGAGTTGGCGCCAATAGATTGTCTTTCCGTCATTGGGATAACAGGTATTCGATTAGTCCGGTTGATAAGGACAGTTTCGGCAGCATAATAAGTCCTCTGGACTGCGGAAATTATGCGCTTCGTTGTCCTCATATTGGCAATATCTCCCTTAAATGGTAGCTCGATGTAGATCTTCTTTTTAGACACTGTCGATACCTTCTGTCCCGGCACCCTCGCCTGACTATATTTGTCGATGAACCTACTTGGATAGCCATTTTTCAACAACGTATCCTTGAGCGAGTTTATCTCATCATCTAAACTGTCGGTAGTGCATATTTTCCTTGCACGGTTAAATAGCGTCTTGACTAAGATCCGTTTGTACCGCATTGGGGAGAAGCTGGTAAAGTGTAGGTACTGCCCTGACCAAGTCCGTTTTCGGTAAACCTCTCTTTTGATGGACCCATCTGCTCTTCGGCAAATCAACACGTCCAGATATGGAAAGCAGTTACTTTCCTGTGTTTCGTTGGTTACTTTCAGATTCGTATGCACGTTATTCAGGCGATCGACTAGACGTGCAATGTGCTCCTCTGATGAGCTAAACACTAAAATATCATCCACATATCGCTTATAGTAGGAAAGCAGTGATATTTCCACACTCAACTTCTTTTCAACCATCGACATGAAAAAATCTGCTAGTACTGGGCCCAACGGACTACGCATTGCCACCCCATCTATCTGGCGATATGGAATGTTTTGGAATTGGAAACCGATGTTCTCATTACATAGTAGCAAGCTGTCCTTTAATAATTCGACTGGCATTGGAAGAGTAAGATCGGAGCACTATGTCATTTCTCATACGTAATCAACTGTTTCATGTAGCGGAACATTGGTGAAAAGCGATTGTACATCCAATGTGGACATGACTTTATCGGATAGGTTAAACTCATCTAAAGCCTCTGTAAGTTCGAAAGAGTCCTTCAGACGGTGTGGGATAGTCTGCTGCTTTAACGGCGAAAGGACTTCTACCAGCCAACGAGCCAACTTATGTTGTGTCGAGTTTGCCATTGACAAGATTGGTTTAAGCGGTATACCACATTTATGGGTCTTTGGCAAACCGTATAACTGAGGTATGTTAGACCCTCCCGGTTTTAGGTTGTTAAATACCTCATCATCAATTACGTGATGTAAGAGGAGCAACTTTAGATGTTCCGTGATGCGTCTTTCCACTTCCCAACATCCTCTGTTCTTGTAGAGAGTTTAAATTTGCTAGCATCACTCAGTAAATCTTGCATTTTCCGTGTGTATTCTTCCTTGCACATAACGACGGCTCCTGATCCTTTGTCTGGCTTATGTATGATCACCCCCTTCGTCCTCAGCCCTCGTAGTGCACAAAGGTGACGCCTTGTTAGCAAACACTTCTCACTCACTGGCGTCATTGTGACCTCATGGGCAACATCAGTTAGTTTGTTTCTAAACCAGTTTGACATATCTGGATTAGACGCCTGTAACCCTGCTAACTGGTCATAAAAATTTTCAAACTGTGCCTCTATGAACAAGGGGTTTAGCTTACTAGGTGGGACTTTGTAATCCATTCCGAGCGATAAAGCTTCCAGTTGTAAGGCATCAAGGGGAACATTTGACAGGTTTAAAACGTACGTATTGGGGTCACGATGTGCAGGCTCCTCCCGTTTGTCAACTAGTGAATTCTGCCACCGGACTTTGCATTTCTCCTTTGTACGATCAGTAGTAAATTTGCAGAAGTTGGTAAACACTATCCTGCGGCACAACGATAAGCTATCCAGTATTGGCATTAGGCGGGAATGCGTCTCGAGTAGCGCAGTGAGTCGAGTCTGAGCACTCTCCAATTGAGCAGAGGCAATGCGCCGGAGATTTCCATTGGACGGCTCTAGCTTAATTTTACGCAACACCTTCCAAATCGAACGTGGATATTGAACTACGGTGATACAGTTTGCGAGAACAGATATTTCCGAACGACAGCAAACAAGTTTGCACTTCAGACTAACAATACGGCGTAACTGCCTGGCGAAATCAACGGGAATTCGTCTCTGGATAAATTTGAAACAATTAGATCCCTTTAGTAATTTGAATAATGCCGTAAGAAGACGAACACTGGCAGATGTCAACATTTCGTATTGTCTCTTCAGTGCCAACACAATAACATGAAAATATATATAACCTGTTCCGGTCTCACCCTACCTGTCGTATTATATATTTTCATGTTATTGTGTTGGCACTGAAGAGACAATACGAAATGTTGACCTCTGCCAGTGTTCGTCTTCTTACGGCAGAAGTATTTGCCTCTGTCTGTGCAACCTAAGCACAGTGTTCATGCCCCTCCATAGTCGGCTGCTCCCCTGTGGGGTAACATGAAGGCAAGCAAAGGAACCGTTGGAAAATATTAATATAAAAGTCAGAGGAAGAAACTTGTATTTTGGAACAGCTTAAAAATATGTAACGATACATACCTAAAAACCTTGTTGAACTATTACGAGCTAATTTAACAACATAAACACGAGGGATCATGAGACCACTGCCATTATCCGTCATACGAGGTACTTGAACTCGGAGTAACGGAAAAGGAACTGATATCCTCCATCTATTTCTAACATATGCAGATAATATCTTAAAAGGCTGAAAATGCACCTAGTTGGACACTTCAGAGGTATGTTGACTTGTTAACAGCTGAAAGTAATCGTTGAAGTGCTTAGCGACGTTTGCGTGTCGGGTTAATAAACAACATCGTTATTGTACGAAATCAAGTGACATGTATCAGTCGAATATGTTCCGGTGCATATATATATATATATATATATATATATATATATATATATATATGCAATACTCTACGCAAAGACATATACCCAACAGAAAGCATGGGACTCAAAAGAAGGTACAGAAATAGGAAAAGCAAACACAACACATTAAGGTCCATGATTTCGTCGGTGGGCGAGATACTACCCGGTTGCCCAAGCCGAAGTACTGGGTTGACTTATGGGACACCACCCCGAGCCTTTGGCTGAATAGCCTGCTCGAAAGGCAGCAGAGCGAATTACGGGAATCGCGCCCATTAGGAGCCGGTGAATGATTGCTCAGTTCATATGCCATTCATTTGTTCCTTTGTCAAACAGGGGCCCAATGCTCCCTAGATTTACAGCATAAATTTCCTGAAATACAATGCTTTGCCGGAACGAAGCAAGCTGCAGTGACTTTATTTAGTGGCGAGTCACGTGCACCACGTCACAGTGTTGTTAAACAGACAAATGTGGCTTTTTCTAAGGAGAACGTTTGCCAGGCGAAAACCCACCACGTCCTGGAACACTGCCGCTGAACCATTTGCTGGAAAGGGAAATCCCCAAACCACCCAGCTGGCACCACGAATAGGTCGTTCGGCAAGCCAGCCGGTTGTTCGGCAAGCCGATGTATGGGATTCTATTGGTGTGTTCAGGTATATTTTATCACACTCCCGTAGATTGGCGGTGAGAAATATCACTTTGCTTATAAGTGAGGTTTTTGCACAAGGTTATCTAACTATTGTATTGCAAGCTTTTTGACGAGGTTGCGTCATGTTCGATGTATAAGATTTTCTACTATTTTTCTTTTTACCCACCGATGTTCCCTACAAGGGGACACATTCACAGATGGATGGAATCTGCTTATAAGTCGGGAGATGGAGAAGCTTCGCCCACGACCATCAACGAAAAATCGGAAGCGGAAACTACTGCGGTCCAACTATGCAAAAGAGTTCATATAACCTTAACAGTTTTTTGTATGGATCATTCAACAATATAAATTGACAGCAATGCAAGTAAACTTTGTTCCACCTCATTTTTCGCGGCAGGCGGGTACCGAAGACGCTATTTTACTTCCCGTAAATAAGCCCATTTAAAATGCGGCTCTTATTGTAATCTGCGCAGCTTCATTCGTTGTTCTGACTGCGACTTCCATCGTCAACCCATTTCTGCAGCAACCAGTGCAACATCATCCTGTATTCGCGCAACCTGTGAAACGCTTATGTCAACTTATCAGTTAACAATGAATCTTACTGGTGTTATGAAGAAGCTCCCACGCAACGAGACTGGACCTTAGCGCAGTACGATGGGCTGCGTACTCCCGCTACTCACTGAGCTACGTTGCGATGCACTTCCAAATGACCCTTAGAGTCACTCAAATCAGATAGGGCACTGGCTAGGATTCAGACAAACTCAGTCTCACCGTTCTCTTCGGAGGTTAGGGAGCGGTGAATGGCCACCTTCCTTTATAACCTAGACAAGGAAAACAAGGGTTTTACAGGTTATAAGCTCACAGTCTGCATTGACGATCAGACGAACAACTTACTGACTTAATCGTAACCTGTGTTTGGATAAACAGCTAAACAGTGTCCGCACGTTGCACAAGTACTCTTCACGTCAGTAGCTAGCAGCCAGTGTAGTCAAAATGAACAGAGATGATACTTAACTAGCGATGTACTTGATCGCTGAACTGTTGTGAAGCTTGTATGACATACTTAAGAGCAACCGACATGTGCTGGAATCCGATGGAAACAAATGGAGTCTTGACGGTAGTGCAAATTTTCCCACTATATTGGCCGTGACACAAAAACCTGTCGATAGATCTGGTATCATGGGATCGAAGGCTTGTCGAGGACATAGTACATGTTGATTCTCATAGAGTTAGCTTTAGCATAAACGCGATAAGAGATGAAGGGCGACAAAAAATAGTCAGTATTCAACCACGCCGTATTCTGGATCAGAGCTTTCATTACTTCCAGCCTACTGCGAAGTAGAACCAATTCCTGGTGTCGAGTGTTTTCTTGGCTCGGCGATTCTGGGTATGTGTGGCACATGTTCGTCATCGTGACGAATATGTTGCAGAAACTACTGTTTCTTTTAACAGATGAAGCTTAAAAGCAGCACCTGCTGTGGTAGTTAGCACTTTCAGGCACCTGTATAGAATCATGAACCTAGTTAATGGCAGTGCTCCGAGAGAAGTGTTAACCAGCGCTGTCTATACTCCGACTAGAAAAATGGGCGCTACAAGAAGACGTAGGGGAATGCAATGAGAGCAAAACAGGTGTCAGTAAGGTGGCTTACTCGGCTAGCCAATGCGAGTGAACGTGGGCACCTCGCAGAAATCAAGCAAGCAAGTAAACATAGTGTAAGTCGATCAGCTATATCTATTTACTAAATGGGGTTAGGATTGTCTTTTGGGTCGTTACAGGATTCGCCATGCAAGCGACGTCTGTAACTACCCAAAGTAAATAGGTTTGGATGATTGTTTAAGTGTCTTCACAGGTGAACGCTACGTAGGTATCTGGTAATACCCTAAAATAATAGGTCTATACAAGTACCGTAGTTGTATATCACTAAGTTTGGTACAAATAAGTGGAGACAAGGGAATACAGCAGCTGAGTTACAACAATTGCTCCATATTGCAAATCATGGGTCTTCACTTTCAATTGTAGTAGCAGCATTGCATTTGCAAAGCCATCTTGACTGGGCTTACGCGTGGTCATCCGACAACCGGCTCCAGTTCAACGTGGCGAGGTGCAAAACCGTAAGTATAAGCCATCAGCTTATCTATGAATATCGATATAGGGACTTGCAGTTATAACGTGAACCCAAAGAAAACGACCTCGGGGTGAACGTGCAGTACCATCTTGGTTGATCGAAACAGGCTGATAAGGTGCCAAAATGAGCCAGCCAACGTCCTGGACTCTTACGAAGGGGTTTCGGAAATTTTGAGCCACCAGTGTTTCCGCAAATGCTAAACGCCTACATGAGGCCCCCGTTGAATAGCCATCCAGGCCTGGCGTCCCTGGCGCAAGCGCGTTATCAATGCACTTGAAGCTCCACAACGTAGAGCGACCAAACTCGTTAGAGGATTGTTTCATCACTCCTATCAACACAGACTGCAGTCCTTGAGATTGTACAGTGGTGAATATCTACGTTTGCAAGGAGACCTAATCATGGTTTACTTAATACTGACGAACCCAACTCATCCATGCCGCAATCTGTTGCCGTTGAGCCAAAATACAAACCTGGGAGGCCATCAGCCCAAACTAGCTCCGCACTACAGTCATCTTGATTGTCGACGAAACGTGTTCTCCCTGCGTGTGTTCTGTGTCTGGAATGCCCTTCGGACTCATGTTATACTTGCCCCTACATTAACGCTATTTAAAAAGCGCCTAGATGTAACGCTTTCCAGCATGCATTACATGATATAGTCCGTTCCACTTGGAGGACGAAACAACGCAGAGCTAACCGTGTGCTTAACGGCTCTCTCCGCAACATGACGGTGAGGATATAAGCAGAAGTGTCCGTGTGGTTAGCCTGGATGGATCCAAACTGAATTAACATGCCGCATCTCTCAAATGAAGCAACACATGAGTGAGCGTTGTCGTTTACCTTATTCTTTCTCACGCATTTACTGGACTATAAGGACTATTTATACTAGTTTATATGTGCACATCCCATTCCTACTTTAAACAATATTCTTACGGTGGTGCTGTTAAATCGGTAGACGCATAAAATAACGACTTACTTATTTGATGATCCTTCTCATTTTAATTTGTACTCCAACCATCCTACGGGACTTGTCAAGCACATAATTTTTATCGGTGATACAGCATTTTTCATTGTTTGGACAATAATAACTAGTAGTGTAGGACGCTTGAATTTGCCTGTCTTACATCATACCACTTTAATACCAGAAAGCAAGTGGAGCCTAGCACTGGTTTGGAGACAATGTAAGTATAATTTCAGTTACATCTTTTACGTTGTTATTTAATGCATCAAATTGAAAACGTTTGAATTTAGAGCGCAAGTGGACTGATTTATTTGTGATCCGCAAAAGCCGTAAGGCCACACTCTAACTCGGCTCTCACTTCACAGTCTTTGGCCACGCTTATTCTCCCCACACAATATGACGCGTGCGGTCATGTGAACTAGTTCGACAAGCTCTACTGAGTGCCTCCCGTCACTTGGATCTAACTTGTGTGGATTATGATCTTGCTCCAGTTCTCAGTTTTGACATATGCTTTGTCGAGTTCTACATGTTAATCACATCAAAGCTGAGCATTTCGGGGAAGCATTTTAGTCTCATTCGGAAAGGGGAAGCTCAGGATTCCCAAACTAAACGTCAGCCATCAATACAGACTGCAGCATGTCAATATTACAGTCAGTTTGTTTCGCTCATCTACTGAACCTCACCCCTGGGGCTTATCAGCGCCCTACCAGTAATGTCACGTAAAGCAGACCCACCAAAACACGCTGTCGCTTCCTCTGGGTGTTTGCGTATAATTGCGAGACTTTTGATCGCTGAACCTGCAGACTGCGCGTGACCAGGAGTGAAAGAGGCGGGGAGACATACATTTACCTTGGCTGACTGACCTTGCTGCGGGAACAATCAAAGTAGGTTCCCGGGTCGAATAACCCTCAACCCGTGCGTGTGTTTTGACGTGTTTGTGTATCACGTGCACGCTTAACACCTAGAAAATTCATCAAACGTGAGCGCTATTAGCATAATACCGCTCTAATAGACCTTGCTGCGAAAGACAACAGTGAAGGCTGCATTCACAGCATCGTGCAAGACCGCGTAGGTCTTCAGGAAGTTGCGGTAAAGTTTTTAAGATCAGCGTACCATGTTCCAGCTGCATTAAATCGTACTATCCGTAAGGTATAGGCCAATTCGCCTAAGAAGTGAAGCAGATAAACCCCGTTGGTGACACATGTTGTTTTTTCCAACATGTCAAGTCATTACACTTGTCTAATCTTCATCTTTGCTCACGAAGCAGTGACAGAGGATGACTGAGATAATTGCGCATTCAGTAACTATCGTGATCGTCTTCTCGGAGGCAAGTACGGCCATGTCATTAACTCAAACAGGCAAGGCAAGATCCGCTTCTAAGCTGAAGAAGAGAGCAAGAAGCTTCAACCGCCCTGCAGCGTCTGCTTCTTTATATACTCTTAGTCTCCTCACTTTTATAAGCGCACATACTTCAAACATGTCTGCTTCCAAACACAGACGCTTCACTTGGGGATTCAGCATTGACATTAACAGCTCAGAGCCGGGGGTTATCTGGCGCAGAAAACAAGCAGGTATCCTACACTCCGGTTGGCTCGATAAACACACCGGGAGCGACACACGAGGGTCCAGCTTCTGCACGGAGTACACGTGAAACGATTCAGCTTTCACCGTCAACTGCCGTAGTGCATTCTAAACAGGCCAAAATACCAGCAACCACTTCAAAAAGTGAAATTCGATTAACAAGACAATGATGCATCCACATTGAATTTCACTAAAGTACTCGAGTCCATTGCTGGGACAATACGAGGCAAGTTGCTGGAAGATCTCAACCAGTGGAGTACCAGCTCCGATGCGATTGGCATTTAGGTTCAGTTACTACGTCGAGACGCGTAGCGCTTTACTGTACTTCAGTGCACTCTGGCATACCTGGAATTCTTCGAGTAACACTGACCTCGGTAGATGAGACAGTGGCTGTCCTGCTCTCAGAAGTTCACCTTCGCCACTCTCCAGCGGGGTGCGCTAATTAACCGTTCCTCCTTTACATGACCGTCCACGAGAGGCGGGTGCCGAATGCGACATTCCTAATGGCGATTGCAAGGAAACCATATTTGTTCACACTGTTCCTGCATTTCTGGATTTGCTTAAGCAAAATGCGCAAACACATGAACCACAGCAGTGGTGCGACATCTGCGAAGAACTCACTCTCTCTGGACCATGTTACTGCCAACTCGTTGATAAGCATTCCTTCATCACTTAACTACAAGTACGGCGGTCCAAAAT